GAAAGGATGAATGGATGAGGCCACTGCAACAGCCCAGGTAAGAGGAAATGAAAGCTTGAACTAAAGCAGGGGAGAAATAAAATTAGGAACTAATAAGGACAGAGAAGTAAATGGATGTAACCAATTCCCTATTGGGATCAAGTATTATTCAGATTTCAGAGTAGGCTTCTGAGACAGGGAATTAAGGAAGGAGCAGGAGCTTTGTTTTTTGTTTTTTTTTAAAGGAAGAATTATGATGAGCTCAGTTTCTGATGTGTTGAGGGGTTCAGCATCTTTTAGAGAACTGGATTGTGACTGCTCTTCAGCAGAAAACAGAGGAAGGTGTCAAAATATAGAGGATATTCTACAACACAGAAAGGCTCCAATCCCCCAGGAGGAGTGCATAGAAAACCAAAGTGTATGAAGACAAGACGAGAGCCATGAAGGCAACACTCAGAGGAAATAAAAGTACACATAGAAGAGGAGACACGGAAAGTAAAGTAGAAAAACTGGTCAGAAAGGAAGAAAATCAGGTAAGGGAAAGAAGTGCCATAGTACCCAAAGCAAAAAGAGAAATGCCAACAAGAGGAAATAGTCAGCAGTGTCACATGCTGCGAACAGAGGAGTAAGCATCTGAAACAAACAACAGCAAAACTTAAAAGCTATTGGTAGAAACAACCAGATATAATCTTTGTATTAATAGAAGGCAGGCTCTGGAGGAAACAAGATAAAGGATGCATTAGCTTCCCATATACAGGATATGGATCCCAAGGAAGATGCAGGTCTGAGCCATCTAAGAGGTACTGCAGACAAAAGGTGACCCCAGCAGGAGAATGGACTCATAGAAGACAGAGGCAGATGGCCAGACAAAGGAGAAGTCACCAGACATGGGAATTACAGGTGAGACTGGGAGGAAGGGAGGGGATATAAAAATACCACAGAAGCAAAGAATCAGCATTTGTAATCTTCCACACCTGTGGTAAGCAGACTGGCTCCCCCAAAGATGTCCACCACCCTAATCCCTGGATCCTGTGAATATTTTATATCACATTGCAAAAGGGACTTTGCGGATATAATTAAAGTGACGAACCTTAAAATAGGGAAATTATCTTGGATTATCTGGGTAAATCCAATCTAATCACAGGCTCTGAAAAGTAGAAAACTTTCTCTCGAGGAGGGCAGAAGAGTGATACAGCAGAAGAAGTCAGAGAAATTCTAAGTGTGAGATGGATTCAATGCATCGAAGATGGAGGGGCACACATGAAGGACAGGACAGAGGCCTCTAGAAGCTAAGGGTGGCTCCCAGCTGATAGCCAGCAAAGAAACAGGAACTTCAGTCCTACTGAGGACTAGATTCTTGATTCTGCCAACAACCTGAATGAACTCGGAAGAAGATTCTTCCCAAAGCCTCAGATAAGAGCCCAGCCAGCTAAGACTGATTTCAGCTTCGTGAAACTCACAGAAGCAGTCAAGCCAACCAGGATTTCTAACTTACGGAACTATACTAAATTTGTGTTGTTTTAAACCACTACATCCGTGGTAATTTTTTACAGTATTGACAAGAAACTAATATAATACTCTAGGCACCAATGACCGGTTATAGATACCCTAAACCAGCAAGTGCTTGTTCCTCTTCTACCATCTCCAATCTAATCCTGGAGGAGACAGAGTCAGTCCAGAGAATAGGGAAGAACAGAAGAGCAAGGTGGGGAACCAAAAGAGGCCAACCACACCCCAACAACCACCTCTAGTAGAGGCTAGAAATGGAGCAAGCTTGAAAGGGACAAAAGGAGCAGCTTTTGTTGGATGGAAATTAAGTTATTTATGTCAAGCTAGGGTTACTATTATCTGAAAGCAACAGGAAAGCTTTGGCACCTGCCTGGGATTTTTTACCAGGGTCACAACAAAATAAGCTGAGAGGGATGGTTTAAAGAGGAAACAGCTGGAATAAACAAGGCACTTTCAGCTTATACCTATCATGTTCTCCTTATTCAAAAAAACCACTCAGAGATATCCACAATGAGTTCAACAGTAACCACTGAAATAAACTTCAGAAATCAAAGCTGTATATACAGTGATGAATACAACTATTTTACTACCTAATATACATACAGAAACCTAGATGGGCTTTCAGCTAGAAATTCAACTGTCACTGAAAGACAAATATGCGGGGGGTAGGAGGGGAAGAGGAGAGGGACATGCCCTTAAGAAGCAGAACAAAAAATTCATCACTACTTTATGAAAGCACATGGAAACTAGATTACCCAGAGCCAAGCAAATCAATTTACTAAGTAAAATGAATACAAATGTTGAAGTTTTACACTCTACTTTGCATTCATTAAGTAATCAAGTCAGCACAGTCTTTCAAAGGACTATCTTCAGGAGGAAAAAGAGGTGCTCTTCAAAACAAAGTTTTTACTTCATGTAAAAATTATTAAATACTTTTGATAATGATAAATAAAAATAATTGTTTTTAAAACTGCACAATCCCTAAAGAACGAATCCAGATGCAAATTTTAAATGGTGCAAAACCTCTGTAGATGCAAATGCCAAAAGGTCAACATGGCTGATTACTCAATGTTGATTCTCAAGAGAATTTTTATTAATAAAAAAATGTGACAAATATGTGCAAGCCAAAAATCAAACCCAGTTTAAATCTACCATTCTCCACAGGCAGAAACAGTCAAAACTGTGATACCCTGAAAAGCTTGAAAAATATCCTAATCCACATTTAAAAAAGGAAAAATATCCTCAGCTTCAAAGACCTTTCAGTTTCAGAATCAACAGCAGGTTTTCTCTATAGAATATTGTGATATACCCAAGGAATCAGTAAGAGAAGGGAAGAAACTTTTCCTTATTTTTGAAAAAGACCTTAGTTGTGACTAAATCATTATTTAGCAAATTGGACAGCCCTGAGAAAGCAACAATTTCATTTTTACTTCTGCTGAGTAAAGTGAGAGTTTGATCACAAAAGATCTATTGCCCACAACCTGTTTAAGGTTTAACAAGTGATCTGCCCCTCCCCCAGTTATTTAAAAAGTATCCTGTAAAGACTTCAAAAATGCCAATATTCATCTATTAAAATTGGTAATCTTACCCCTCTCTTGGCTAAGTATAACAGAAAAATAGTATAAACTGTACTCAGTACTTTCTAGGTAGTTGACTTTTAACTGATTATGGTAATAAAATGTGGTCTTCATAAATATTTAACATCAATGGGCTACTTATTCTGCTTACTAAGATGACACCCACAATTATGACAAAAATTTGTAACAAGGTAGTGACAAGTGAATAAAAGTACCATTCCAGAATCCCACAGATAATTTAGGTGAGTGATTCCACATATGGTGCATGGATGACAGGGAAGAAAGGGTACTTCGCCATCTTTAACCCTCAAAGAGAATACTAAAAAGAACTACCTTCACATAAGCCTCGTTAACAGAGGCAAAGGCTAGCCAAAAAAGGTTGTTCTTGGCTGAAATTGTATCAACTTATGGTGCCAAAAGAGTGAACAAAGAGTTATAGATTTGTACCTAACTGAAACCAAAATTAGTACTTCATCAAGAGCTGGTACAACAGATGAGTTGCCCCAGCCTAAGGTTCATGCAAAAAAATACTAATAAAATGTATGCTCAATGACAAAAAGTTAGAAATCACTGACACTTAATAAAAAGCATATAAAGACACAAACTAGGCATTCTTTCTTTCCGTAGTCTTCTAAAGCTCCATGTGTAGCACTGGACACAAATACTTGTGATAAACAGAAAATAAGGCAATGTAATGGCAAATACATTGTAGATTCCAGCTGAACAATAACAGCTATTAACAACTATTAACATTTCATGTACATCTTATACTCTAAACAGGTGAATGCATTAATTTCCCTAAAATTAGTAAGGCTGTCAAAACCAATAGGTGAAAGAATAGACATATATAGAATAAATCATGATTCAGAAATAATACACAACTCTCAGAATGCCATACAAAATCTTTTCATAATCTTCCCCAAGTTATCATTCCAATCTTATTTTCCCCACCTCTCACTGGTGCCCCTTGAGCTATTTGTACCCTACCTCTACATCTTTGCCATTGTGTTTTCCTCCACCTCAAGAGAGTGCCCTTCCTTCTGCTTATCCAAATCCTTTCATGAGATAAGACCTGGCTCCAGTTTATCCCTCTACTAAATTTCCGTAAACCACTATAATATCCTATCCATTTTGGTTTCCCCTGAAGTTAATCAGGTATCTCAAAAATTAAAGTAATTTTTCCTTCTCTGAACTTAGAACTTAATTATTAAATACTACCTTCTGGCACTTTTTACTCATTTAATTTTTCAAATGTTTGTTTTGAATCCTAGAAGACAGTAACTTAAGGATAGGAACTATATATGTAAATAAATCTGTTTAGATGAAATTAGCATTAATCTGTGGTAAATGGTTTGCATATAATTAACACATGTGGATTATTGGTCAAATCGGCTCAGCTGGCTTAAAAGCCAAACACTGAATCGGTCAGAGAATCATAATTGAGAACTAAAGAAGGCCCCAAATGACACCACATGTCTCTACCAGAAAAGTCACATCCTAAAACAAGTGAGTTCAAGTCTCTACAGATATACCATAAAGAACCTAGTTATCCTGAGAACTAAGAAAGGAATAAAACAAGTAAGGTCCAAAAATCAGCGTACAACAATGCAAACAGCAGAGCACTGTGACCATCCTTCTAAAATCAACTGAACCCACACAGACCACTTAGATGATCTGTTTGACACAAGAATATACCATTTGATATTTTAGAGTGTTTGTTTTTATGTACCCTGTATAAAGCCAAAAACTGGTGTGTTGTTTTTCTTCAGATTCTTATGTTTGTAATCCCAAAGCTCCCTATGGCTAAAGCACTATCTTAAATGACATAGGAACATCAGGTCCAATGCAATGTGGAACGTGAGTTAGTGTTCCATTAACATGAGCAAAAGCTAAGGCTTTTTCTTCAAACACTTTATAAAGAATCAAAATTCTTACCATCATCTTTTCAAAAAGTTCTAAGAGTTCATTCTCTGACAGTGGCTTTGCAATGTTTTCCATCATCTCTAAAGATGCTGATGAGCAATCATTGCTTGCAAATGCAGTCTTCAGGTTGGGAAGGGGAGTTCTCTCTTTCTTGCCCCCTGGAATTCTTATACTGGCAAATTTGTCCCGCTACAAAGAAAGATAAAATGGCACACATGTAAGAATTTCCTTTCCCAACATTTAACTAATTCCAAAAACAGAAAACACAAACAGGGCCAATCACATTATCACTGTAATTTCATCAAGAGGTATTCAACATTGAAATCTTTAAAATTAAAAATAATAATAAATATAAAAAGTGGTAAAAAGTTTTCAGTAATCATTCTATCTAAATAGAGAAATCAGGCAACCTCAAAACATTCTTTCTAATCTTAAAATCACACAACTATAGATTTGCTAACCTTTGCTTTATAGATTAGCAAATTAATCAGTTTCACAAAGGTAACTTAGCAAATTCAGTGGTGGCACCAAACTAGAACTCAGTGTCCCGTCTCCCATCCCCCTACTGACGCTTTAGTCCACTGCCCTTTTCATAATACATATTATCTCCTGGGGTGGGGAAGACATAATTTAGGAATTCTAAAAATTGAATTTTGGGCCGGGTGCGGTGGCTCACGCCTGTAATCCTAGCACTCTGGGAGGCCGAGGCGGGCGGATTGTTTGAGCTCAGGAGTTCAAGACCAGCCTGAGCAAGAGCAAGACTCCATATCTACCAAAAACAAATTAATTGGACAGCTAAAAATAAAAAAAAAAAAATGGCCAGGCATGGTGGCGCATGCCTGTAGTACCAGCTACTCGGGAGGCTGAGGCAGTAGGATTGCTTGAGCCCAGGAGTCTGAGGTTGTTGTGAGCTAGGCTGACGCCACGGCACTCACTCTAGCCCAGGCAACAAAGTGAGATTCTGTCTCAAAAAAAAAAAAAAAGAATTGAATTTTACTTATATCCTCGCAGCTTTTTGGCCTGAAAACACATTTCTCTTTGCTCAGGCTGGTTTGTATGTGAACTTGAACATCTACAGAGCAGGGTGGTTAAAATCTTAGGAAATAAAGCTAGATTTTTGTTGTGATGTGATTTCTTCTACAACTAGATCATCAAATAGTTCACTGAGGTTTGAAAAAGCATAGATATTAGTTTACAAAGCTAATTATCAATTATCAATTCATTCAAAATTGTTTGAATTTCACAAGTTCTATTTCTCACAAAGAGCCAAGATTAGTACCTTTTAACTCATGCAATGTTTCAACAATCAAAAAGGCAAAAAGTCTTTAACTAAAGCAGGTATCAAGAATAGATGTACACTTAAATAGCAAATCTGTGAATTGTTCACCATTGCTGTATACATTATTAAGCTACTATTTTTACCACATGTACAGTGTGTATACCTGTATTGTTCATTATGTCAACACTAATTATGTATGATGATTAAACTGAATGACATTAGATTCAGTGACTCAGTTGTACTAGCCACATTTCAAGTGTTCAAGAGCCACATGTGGCTAGTGGCTACCATACTAGTCAGAGTACATATAGCACACTTCCATCATCACAGAAGTTCTATTGGACAGAGCTAGTATAGCCATTAGAGAAATCTGACACCTAAAAAGTCTCAATTTAAAAGAACAATAAGTCACAGTATTGATTATTGAATTCACTAAAGAAACAGGATTTCTTCAAATAATGAGATACAAAGATAATATCTTTCAAAATAAGTCTCTAAATTTACTATGAAAATGATACCTATGTAAAATACTATGTACTATACTCACTTGTGGTCCGTGTAACATGGTCTAAATGTTAAAGTACTAAGAATATAACAGCTTCCTATAGGATTTAGAAAGTAGTCACAAAACACCACTGCTGTCATCCTAACAAGCAAAACAAGCAAAACCCACAAACTTGTGTTGTTTTTAACCCATCAGAAAGCTGAGGACACAAAGAAACCTACAAGAATTAAATACCAGGAAGTAACACACTGCTTTTATTCCAGTTGGGGAGATTAAGTCAGCCAAATTTTTAATGAGTTACTGACAGCTGCATGGGTGCAGGCACAAGAAATTAGAATTCCAAAGAGCTCCAATCATGAAGCCCCAGCCACACAGCAAGTCTTCACCCCATACCAGCTCTTTTTCCCTTCGAGTATTCACCAACAGTATGTGGCCAGTATGCCAACGGCTGAGAACAGAACAGGAAAGCTGAGTGAGAGTCATCCTAGGCATGAGAGGCCTCTCCCAACTGCAAATAGTTGCCCTCCAAAGGCTGTGGACTAGGCTGGAGTCCTGAGAGAAATCCCCAGGACACATTTTGGGCCTTCGAAGAGTACATGACACCTGCTGTCCGAAGGATGGGGGGAGAATATCAGGTCAGAGATAGATTTCCTGAAGAAATAGAGAGCCAGAAGTAGAACTGAAAACAAAAAGAGAATTCTACATAAACCCTAAAAAGGGGCATCAGAACTTTAAAGCAGAAAGAAATATCTTGTAGTTGTGAAAGCTAGTAGCTTATTTGTAAAGCCAAAAAGTAGATTGCCAGATTCTCATTAATGCTCAGATCCCAAGTCCTCAAAACATGTGAAGCCACAGATGAGATGAATCAAAGTAAAGCAACAACAAAGCCCAGATGTAGCTCAGCTAGAGATCAAATGGACCCAGTCCCCCACTCCAACAGCCTGAAAGAGGAAAGGCATGTCCTTTCTTGGAGAGAAATATTATTTACTTCTGTTTTTACTACACTTAAATAAAATGTCCACCATATAATCAAATATTGCTAGACACAGAGAGCAGCAAGAAAACATGGCCCATAATTTAAAAAGCAGACTTAGAGATGGCCCACATGTTGGAATTACCAGACAGGCCGTTTTTAAGATGATAAAAATGCTAAGGGACATAATGAAAAGAGTAGACACCACACACACAGTGATGGGGAATTTCAGCAACAAAGACACAGAAACATCCAAAAAAAAACCCAAAAAATCAGATCGATTAGAAATGAAAAATATATCAAAAATGAAGATCTCATTAGATGGGCTTAACAGTAAGCTGGACACAGTTGAGGAAAGAATCAGTGAACCTGAAAATAGATCGACAGAAACACGAAGAGAAAAAATGAGAAAAGAAAAAAACAAAAAGAATGGAGCAAGAAAATTGGAGATACAACATTAAATGTTGTAACACAAGTGTAACTGGGGTCCAAAAGCAGGAGAAAGAATGGAAATGGTGCAAAAGAAATACTTCAGGAGATGACTGAGAACGTTTGAAAATTAATTTATATATAT